GAGGGAGGAGGAGGAGGAGGAGGAGGAGGAGGAGGAGAGGAGGAGGACGAGGAGGAGGAGGAGGAGGGGAGGAGGGGAGGAGGGAGGAGGGAGGAGGGAGGAGGGGAGCAGGGAGGAGGGAGGAGGGGAGGAGGGAGGAGGGAGGAGGAAGGAGGAGGAGGAAGGATGAGGGAGGAGGGGGGAGGGAGGAGGAGGAGGGAGGGAGGAGGGAGGAAGGAGGAAGGAGAAAGGAGGAAGGAGGAAGGAGGAGGAGGAGGAGGGAGGAAGGAGGAAGGAGGAAGGAGGAAGGAGGAAGGAGGAAGGAGGAAGGAAGGAGGAAGGAGGAAGGAGGAAGGAGGAAGGAGAAAGGAGGAAGGAGGAAGGAGGAAGGAGGAAGGAGGGAAGGAAGAAGGAGGAGGAAGGAGGAAGGAGGAAGGAGGAAGGGGGGGAGATCCTGGTCGGGGCCATGAGGCCTTCCCAGATCTCATTTGGCGCCCCTTCTCGTGCCTGTGCAAGCCCTGGCCCGCCGCCTGGGCCGCGCACCTGCCTCGGGCCAGGCTCTGCGAGCACACCCCCCCCTATTCTTCGGGTGCTGCCAGAGGTGCCCTCGGCCCAAGGTGCCCCCAGCTTTTCACTCCATTCTGGGGCCTTCCTGGGCCTCGTGAGGGGTGCTCTGGAGGTCGTGGGGGTCTCCTTGGAACTCCTGGGGGGCACCGTGGGCCAGGGGCACCTCTAGCAACACCCGAATCCTGGGCGCGCCCCTCTCGGACGCCCCGACAGGCGCTGCGGGGGCAGCTGGACGAGCGGCGCGAGGCGGTCTCCGCCGAGCTGCAGCGGGCGCGGCAGCGCCGCGGGAAGACGGCCGACCAGCCGGAGGCATCGGGGCGGCGCCGACCGTCCGAGGAGGGCGAGCTGAGACACCGGCAGTCTGGGTCTCCTCCTCCTCCTCCTTCTCCTCCTGCTCCTTCCTCCTCCTCATCCTCCTCCTCGAAAGTACTGGCGCTCCTCATCCTCCTCCTCCTCCTCCTCCTTCTCCTACTCCTCCTCTTCTTCCTCCTCCTCCACCCTCAGGGGCGTGATGATCATCGCGCTTCTCGCGTCGCGGTCTCAGCATGTCTGGGCCAGAGCGGCTGTCCTTCTCCAAGGGGGCGGCGCGAGGGCGCGACGAGAATCGCGCGTCGCGCATCGCGGGGCGACCCATGCAGTCAGTCGGCCTTCGGGGGCCCCCGTCGTCATCACGGCTGGACGCAGCTCGGCAAACTGGTGTGACTGGACCTGGCGAGGGGTCCGGGGATCGATTTTGAGCTGCCGCTGTCTCGACTCGCCCTCGACGCCAACAGAGGGCCAGGCCAGCGGAGTGCCAGGTCACCCGCAAGGGTGCGGAGGCGATCGCGAGCGCGCCGCGGCCGGGGCCAGGGCGGCTGCCCCTCTCCGGGGGAGGCGGCGCGAGGGCACGAGGGTGCGAGGGCGCGGAGCGAATCGCGCCTTGCGGGGTGCGCTGCGCGACGCGCCTTGTGTCCAGAGGAAGGGGGAAGGGAGGAGGAGGAGGAGGAGGAGGAGGAGGAGGAGGAGGAGGAGGAGGAGGAGGAGGAGGAGGAGGAGGAGGAGAGGAGGAGGAGGGAGGAGGAGAAGGAGGAGGAGGAGGAGGAGGAGGAGGAGGAGGAGGAGGAGGAGGGGGAGGGGGAGGAGGAGGAGGAGGAGGAGGAGGATGTGGCCTGGTTGTGCCAACGCTGGCACGCGCTGTCGCGCGTCTGCCAGCACGCGCGGGAGCGGGCATCGCACTGGCCAGGCACACGGCCGGCGCCGCCCACGAGGAGCCGCAGCTGCCGGGCGGCGCCGAGAGACAGGTGCTGCTGGCGCAGCTGCGCGCCTGCCGCTCGGAGGCGGACGCCTCGCGCGAGGAGATGGAGGCGGAGGCGGTGAGGCTGAGGCAGGAGCTGTGCAGCTGCCGCGAGGAGCACGCGGAGTTCCGGCTCGCCGAGGCGGCGGAGATGGACGTGGTCGCCTCGAAGGCCTTCGCCGTCAAGGCCTTGCTCGCGGAGAGTCGCGCCGAGAACGAGGCGCGCCTGCGGCGCTGCCGGGAGGAGGCCTGGGCAGCGGAGGCGCGCTTTGAGTCGGCCACGGAGGAGGCACGGCAGCCTGGGAGCGCGCCCAGCTTGGTCGTTGAGTGCTCCCGGCTGGAGAAGGCTGTCGAGGACCTGCGCCGGCGCGTCGAGCGCTTCGCTTCGTCCTGCGGCCAGGCTTCGGCGATTGAGCTGGGCCTCAGACGGCCATCGGACCCCATGGATGCCGACGTCAACAATCTGGCGGCCCTGCGAGTGAAGCTCCTCCGCCTGCTGGAGCTCTGGTCCTCGGAGGGGGAGCCGCCAGAAGCGGCGACGGACGCGACCCTGTCGCCGACCACGGTCAATGCCTCGCCGAGGCGATGGCCTCAGGCCACGGCGACGGAGAGGACGGCGTCGCCGACCTCGGCGTCGCACCCCGCCGCCGTCCCGCCACCCCCCGCGCACGAGCACGCGGCGGTGTGGTCCCGCCTCGCCGCGCCGCCGCCGCCGGCGCTGCAGGCGCGGCCGCCAGAGGCGCAGGGCGCCTCCTCCAGCCGCCGGCGGCCGCCCGAGCTGGAGCTCCGCGGCCCGGCGGTGGCGCGGGCATCCTCCTGCCCCGTCGCGACCGTCGCCGCTGGCGCGGCCGTGGTGCAGACCGCAGACGGGCTCTGCGCCCACCCGGCCGTGGCGCGCAGCGCCAGCGACGCGCGCGGGCTCCTCCCCGCGGCCTCGCGGGGCAGCAGTCAGCCGCTGCACGTCGCCGCGCCAGGGGTGGCGGCGGCTGTGGGGGGCCAGGCCCGGCTGCGCGCGAGAGGGGCCCTCGCCAGAGTGGCGTCTGGTGCGGGCTCGACGGGGCCCCCAGGGGAGGCCCTGCCGCGCTTGCCGAGTGCCGGGGCCGAGGCCCAGGAGGCCTTGGGCCCTGCAGCGCCGCCGTGTCCCGGGCCAGGTTCCCAGGTCCGACGGCTGCGCGCTCGCTCGCAGGGGCCCCGCTCCCCCAGCCCTGGTCGCTGGCCTGCGCGCTCGGACGTGGCCCTCCTGCAGCCCCCCAAAGCCGCGCACGGGAGGCCACTCCTGCCCCGGGTCGCCCTGGCCCTCCCCCTCGGGGCGCGAGGACAGCCACGCTGCGCGCGTCGCGGCAAAGCGGCAGCCGAGCTGGCCCTCTCCAGGGGTCGGCGCGGGGGCGCAGAGCTGAGACCGCGGCGCGAAGGAAGTCGCGCGCAGGGGCGGCGCGAGGGCGGTCCCCCCGTGGCCCCCGAGAGCCACGCACACGAGGTCACCCTAGAGTCACGTCGGGCATGTCCCTCTACAGGAGGAAGATTCAAAAATAGTCGAACAATAGTCCGGGGACGATCTTTTGACTGCTCTTGACTCTTGTGGAGCACGTTTTCACCATTTGCCGTTTTTCTTCCACCATCCGCCTCTAGGAGGACACGCCTGACCTGACCCCAGAGATTGTTTTTTGTCGGGGTCCGGCGATCGGGCGGTTATCGATCGGGCCCGCCTGCTCCCTCCCCCCCCGATGGCCCGACCTTGTCCGGCTGGCGCAGGTCCGTCGGGGGGTGCGCAGTTCTTTGGGGTGCGCGCGGGCACGCGCGGGCCCCCCCCCCCAGAGCGAAGCGGTCCGGTGAGCGGCCAGCGGCACCCTCCCCCCCCCCTCGGATCACCAAGACCATCGCCTAAGAATAGGAGACGGTGGGGGCGTTGATGAAGGAATGCGCCCGGGAGGCTGCATACCCTGGAGGATTCCTTATCTGATGAGGGCGGCGGTGATAGCCATGGCCAAGCCTCAACTGGAGTTCCACCGGCCTCCAGACCCTGGATTCCTTATCTAAGGGTTCCTTATCCAATGCCCCCACCGTAAGTGCCATGGAGCCCCAGATCACTCCTGGGTGTACGGTAGGTCCGCGTCGTGTCGACCGGCGGCGACCCCGCCGCGGACGTTCAAGGTTGAACGCCGCCAGTGGCCCAGACAGAATCGGTCGGACGATCGGAAAGCCGCCGATCGTTCAAGGTTGAACGATCCCCGCGGTGTCGGGAACCAACGCCAGGGTCGACACGACGCGAACCTGCCGTAGCCGGCAGGCGGTTGCGTGCGGGCTTGCCAGCTCGGCGCGTGGGCTTGCCAGCTCGGCGCGGGCCCTGGACCTCACCACCCACCAAACCACCCCAACCCAACCCGAAGGCTTCAATCAGCCCTCCATTTCCAGTGGGGGGGGGTCGGGGAACATTGAAAAAGACACACGGAACCCGTCCCCCCCCAACCCGAAATTCGGGTCACATTCAGGTCTTCGGGTTGGGTTGGGGTGGTCTGGTAGGTAGTCAGGACCTCTCCACCAGCAGCTGGGGGTCCCTGCCCGCCTCCCACGCCGCCGCGCGGGCGGGCGAGGCGACGACCTCCGCCCTCTCTGCTGCTGCTGCTGCTGCTGCTGCTGCTGCTGCTGCTGCTGCTGCTGCTGCTGCTGCTGCTGCTGCTGCTGCTGCTGCTGCTGCTGCCCGTCGTCGCCGCCTTCCTCTCCTCCTCCTCCTCCTTCTCCTCCTCCTCCTCCTCCTCCTCCTCCTCCTCCTCCTCCTCCTCCGCTTCTTCATCAAGCGGAAGAGGCCGTAGACGACGAGGATGTGGGCGAGGATGGGCAGGACGAGGTCGATGGCTCAGGACAGGCAGCTCATGTTCTCGTCGTCGTCCCGGACGAGGACGGAAGACGTGCCCAAGGATGAGCAGAAGTGCCCTGCCAGTCGCACATCCTTGGGGCCGCGGCCCCCGCGAATGAGAGGACGGCAAAGACGGGCCCGAGGATGGTCAAGGGTGCCCTGCTCATTCAGCATCCTCAGTGCCGCGCAAACCCGCGAGTGGGAGGGCAAGGAAGACGCGCGCAAGGATGAGGAGATGTGCCCTGCCCGCCGCGAATGCGACGACGACAAAGGCGGACCGCATGATGGCCAAGAGTGCCCTCCTGCCCGTCCGGCATCCTGAGGGCTCGTCCCACGGGCGCGCCGCACGGCGCAGCCCCCAAGGATGCAGCCCGCCCGCAGAGCACGGTGGGACCGAGATGTGAGGTCGATGTCGGCTCGGGGAGGGTACCCTGATGTTCGTCGTGTCTGTTGGAAAAGTTATGTGCGTCCTGGTGGGGGGGCACCCTCGAGTCTTCTTTAGTTTGGGCCGGCGGAGGGTTTCATGTTCTTGAAGGATGTTCTTCTGTCCTAGGTCCGACCGTACCCTGAGGGGCTGGCTGGCCAAAGTGGCCAAGCACGGGCCGAAGGGCGCAAGGATGCGAGGGTAACCTCGGAAAGGTGCCCATCCTTAATGCATGCGGGCCGCACGACAAGGAACACCTGATGTTTCGTCTGGGTGCCCTGGGTTTCTCTTGCCTGAGTTCGGCGTCGTAGGTTGTAGCAATCTCGAAGAAACTGCAAATTGTATAGCACCCTGGGGTCCTTGGGCGTCGGTGCGTTTCGGATCGCGCGCCCGAACCTCCAATCAATATCCGGCATTCGGGTCCTTGGGTTTCTTCACGCGTGTCGGAACCCGAACTGATACGATATGACACACTGTAGGAGCACATGTTTCTCATTGACCGCGCGTGCGCGCGTACGCGCGCGCGCGCCCTCAATGCCAAAAACAAAATATACATGCCAACCTAACTTTGGTAACTGAAAGTTGCAAACCGACTGTTCCATGTGTACTCTGGAATCCAGCAGGATAATATTTCGCAAGAGACCGCGTATTTGTTGCGCGCTGTCGCGCGCGCAGTACGAAAGTCAAGAGGGATTGCTAAGTTGTTTTAGAAGATTAAATGGTCAAAGTCAATTGTTCCACTCGTATTCTCAGGGCCCCAACATGGTATACATAGTGACAAAATAAACGGTGTTTATTGCGCGCGCGTGTGCGCGCACGCGCTGGCAATAAAAACATCTATCGTGCAATACTAAATCACATCATGTTGAGGTTCAGGACACAAGCGAAAAAAACGGTTTCCACCATTCGGTTTTCGAGGTCCAGCTATCATACCCCTATTGGTTCTAATTGCGCATGTGAGCGCACGCAAAAGAACAGTGTTTTGTCTTAGACTGTGGCGTACCGTGTTGAGGTCCAGAATGCAACTGTAAAGTAATCAGCATTATTCAGTTTTCGAATTTAGATCTGTCATTGCCATTCGACTCGTGCAGTGCGCACGCGCGCAATAAGAGAACGGCACTGCGTCACAATAGAGCGTGTTATGTTTACCCTTCGAGTATTAGTGAAAAATGTGCTGCCACCGTTCAGTCCTCGAATTTCGATTGGTCAATTAAAATTGGTTTTCGCATGGTCGCGATGTTGTCTGGTTGCTGTCTGAGGCGCTCGGGTTGACGTTTGCATTCGATCTTGCTCATGTTGGTCAAAGGTGCTTGTGTGCGACGCCTGCTGTCTCGCTGAACTGAGGAGGCTCGTGCTTGAGATCCGCTTTGCTTGCTTTTTTCCTGACCATTCTTGGTGGCCCGATGGTTCGATTTGGTTTGCTTGCTGTTGTTCCCAAGTGCCTCCCTCTGGCTTGTCGCCTCCCTGATGGTGCATTGAATTCGCGGGCGCTCGCCAGGTTGGCAAGGGGGCGCCGGCGGGTTTCGCAGCGCATGCCCAGAAATTGAAGAGATTGACAAGTATTCATGATACCTTGGGTTTCCTAGCTCGCCATTCTTCATTTTCCTATTGGTGCATGGCCCGAGGCTTGCATTTCGACCGCCTTGAGTTTCTTGGCGTAAAACTGTTTACGCAAGCGATCAAGAAACCGCTCCGGTCAGGGTACCCAGGGCTTCTTTGATTGCAGTCGACATGCAAGGGACACAACCTTGGACCAAGAAACCTCGGCGCATTTCATGGTCGTGTTTCTTGCTGTGGGCTTCTTGTGGATTGATTCCCATGGTGTGCGCCCTGACTGTATCGCCACCAGCCCATCCAGCAACGATGGCCAGGCGAGTTCCAGTCGGGCCGCTGAAGACGGAACCGAAACAAAAAAAAATCGTGTCGCTCTCATTCTTTTTAATCGCTGCCCACATTAAGTTACGCCGCTTTGTCGGAGGCCGGCTGACTGCATGTCGGGGCGCTCTTGGGGCGCTCTCTCGCGCTCTGGGCCCTTTCAAGGGCCCCCTGAAAGGGCCAGAGTGTTTTTCCCCCGGGGACAAAAAAACACCCCGACCCCGAGAATTGGCCTTTGCTAAACGGCCCTGGGCTTTTTCTGAACAGCCCTGCCCTGTTTGATTCCCTCCCCAGGTGCGTTTGGCCCTGCCCTGTTCGATTCCATCCTTGGGCGCGCTTGCTGAACGGTTTCGCTTGTCGGGGTGATTGGTGTCCTCCATGTATTGGTCGCCTCTTGGGCCTCTCGGGGTGCCCCCTTGGACCATCTCGGCGCCATGTCGAGGCCTCAGGGGCCCATCGGGAGCGAATGGGTGGCAAGACAAAGTACATCGAATCGCTTTCAGGTTTCGAAAGGGCGTGGGCCCCCCG